TTTAGCCTTATAGTCACATAATTATTCAAGTATCACGATCTAAAAATTAAAAATGAAGTGGTACAATAATTATGGAAGTCACTGTATGTAGATTCTCATAATACCAAACATATCTTAGAACAACACAATTTTCTTCGCAGAGTTCTTTTTTGATCTGATCACGCATTAACTACTTTTTAAATTCTTCTAGATCTTTGTGAAAGTATTTTACATGTTATTCATACTGATTACCTTGTATCTCGATGACAAATCCATATTGTGGATAGTAGATGTCAAGTTTTAGTCCTCGAGAATGTTCAGATGTTTTCAAGAAATCTGAACGGCAGATGTTAGAAGGTAGGCTAAGAATGTTAGTTATGACTTCACAATATAGATTTTTATATTTATTTAAGCAATATGAGTACCATGTCTTAGAGTACTTTATACATTTATGACCCTTATTATACATCTATTGTATCAGAACATAGAAATTTATATATTCTATAGAAAGACACATACCTTCTCTACTGTAACCAATTTTCTTAGCTTCCAAAAGATCACAGAAAAAATTACTAACACATTGTGAGTACCATCATCCCATATTTTTTACCCATAAAAGTATTATAGTCCATTTATGACCTTTGGCACATCTCCAAAGCATTTGAGTATTTGTATTAACATATTCTGTAGAAAGGCACTTACCATCTCGTTCTTGTGCAATATTATTTGCTATATCAATATTGAATCATCATTGACTACATCTTCAGTGCTATATATTATATCTTTGGATTGGAATACATTCTTATTCTGGTATAATATGTCCTTGTACTGGAATAATCTTTTGGTTTGATACACACATTTTCTGTTTGGTATATTACACTTTTGACACCAAGTTCCCTTAAGAATATCCTTTGCTGAAGCCTTCCACTTATAGTCTTCTTTACACTGCTATTTAAGAGAATCCTATCTATTAACATAATCAGTTGCAAGGCAAAAACCTCCTTTCTTTTCTGCAAACTTCTTCATATCTTCAATCATTTGAGTATGACGATTTTTAACTACATATCATAAGCACCATATTTTTCATTCTTTACACTAATAAATCTTACCAACCATAAATGATTCTTAACACATTTTTAAAGCATTGGCATCTGACAATTGATATATTTTTCAGAGATGCATTCACCTTCTCTGCTATGAGCAATTTCTTTAGTAATATCTAAGGTTAATTTTGCCATTAATATTTTATACTAGATTTTAAAAGGCCAGTGAAAAGCATGATATTATTTTATTTTATGCTTTATTCCTCCTTTTAAATGTGATCTACTCCAATATCTTTTATTAGTTTTATTTTTTACTTAACCGGCCAGTCTTTTCTCATGTATTACTTTATAAAATTATCTCTTAAACTGTAAAGCAGGTAAATTTGCCTATAAACATAAAAAAAAAGTATTAATTTTTTAATAAAAAAAAAAATATTAATGTTAATAATATAATTATTATATAAAAAATATAGTTTAATATATATTTTATCAACTTTAATAGAAGAAATTTAAGTTTATTAAGAAGTTTTTTAAATAAATCAATTTTTAAAATTAAGTTTTGAAAAATTTATTATAATAATTTTTTAAAAATTTTCTTAAAATTCATATGTTTACAAACTAATTGAATTATTTTACTATTAATAAAAGTTATAAAATTTCTTAGTAAATTATAAAAACTGTAATAATTAAAATTATTCTTCATAATAAATTTTATAATATTCTATTATAATTAATATTGCTAAAAAGTAAATGTTAATAAGATGATCAAAGGTAAATTTAAACATTATATTTTATTTTTTTATAATCATTAGATATTAAAATATTTTAAGTTTTCTAAAATATTTTAAAATAATTTTATACTTACAGTTTAAGGGATAATATTTATAATTTTTTAATTTTATAATAAGATATTATCACTTTTAAATATTAAAAATTAGATATAATTTTTTTTTACTAATATAAGTATATTTTGTGATAGAATAAATAGTCTTAATTCTGAATATATAATTTATGATTAATATTATTCTCTATAAAGAAAATACTAAAAAATTAATAAATTTAAGTAAATTTGAATAATTATTTTTAAAAAAATATAATAACTTATTTTTAATTTTAAAAACTTATAACTCATTAACTATAAATGCTATAATATTATTTTAGATTAATTTAACTCTTATATTTAAAAAAATATTCTATAAAAAATTAGCTAATTAATAATACTAATTTTATGTAATTTAAAATCTATATTAAAAATATTATTTAATAAAATTTTGAGAATAGAAAACTTTTTAAACAAGTTAACTATCATAAAATTAATATAAATTCTGATTTTCTCTAAATAATAATTCTAATAAGTTAAATTTAGTTAAAATTAGAAGAGATATTATATTAACTTTTTATTATATAAAATTGGTTAGACTAATTTTTTATAGTAAAAATAAATTTTTATTACATAATATTTTCTGATTGAATAGTCTGATTTTGATTAAATTTAATTTGTTAGAATTATCTTATAGAGAAAATCAGAATCTAATATCAGTTTTATAATAGCTAACCTGTTTAAAAGATTTTAAACTTAAAATTTTATTAAGTCATAATTTTTAATATAACTTATTAATTATAAATATTAAAAATATTATTTTAAATTTAATTTAATCCTTATATTTTGAAAAATATTTTATAAAAATTTATTAGTTAATTAATAATATTAGTTTTACATAATTTAATAATTTATAAGATTTAAGGCTAAAAATAAAATATTACATTTTTTGGATTGTAACTATATATAGATAGTAGATTTATAAATATTATAATAATATTATATTATTATTATTAAAATAAATCTAACATAAAAAATTAAATAAAGTAAATTATTTAAATTTTTTATTATATTAAAAAAAGAAAAAAAAAGTATTAACTAGTTGATATTAAAAAAATTAATTTAGAATTTCTTTTAAAGTTTAATTTAACATTAAAAAAAAATCAAAAATAAAAAAAGAAGAAAAATACTTAAGCAATAATAATATAATATTTATAAACTTATTTTTTTAAATAATCTTAATTTAAAGGTATTATAATACTGAAAAAATATAAAAATTAATAAAGTAATAAAGAATTTAATATTAAAGAAATTCTAAAATATAAAACTATTAAGAAATAAATAAAAAGATATAATTCATTTTAAAAAAAAAAATATTTGAAAAGATATTAGAGAAAATGTAATATTTGAAAAAAGTATACATTAAAGATAAATACTGAAAATACTATTTACAATTAATTTAATAAAGCTAAAAAGTAGTAAAAAAAACTAAATTTATTATTTTAAAAATTTTCAAATTTCATTGTAAATTAAAAATATTATGAAATCTGTTATTTTTTTATATAAAACTTTAAAATAAAATAAAAAAAACTTTTATTATTTAATAGCTTAGTAGTTATGTGATATATAATATAATTTAATAATTATTTTTAATAATAAATAATTAAGATTTTGATTTGATGTAAAGTTATAGAATTAGTAATGATTTATAGTATTTTCTTATATTATATTATGTTAATTTCTACCTATTATAATAAATTAATTATTAAATATTTAAAATATTTTTAAATACAAAGAGTAGATAAAAATATCTAAACACTATTTTTTATATCAAATTACTTAATAACTACTGATTTAAATTAAATCAAATTTTATATATCATAGATAAAATCTTAAAGTATATTTTATAAAATTTTATGTGATTTAAATCAATTGTTATAGAAATATATCATTAATTTATATTATATAAATTATTAAAATTTTAAATTTAACTACAAGTTTAATTATATTATTTATTTTATCATTTAACAATTCAAATTAAACAAAATTTTAATATATTATATAATGATATTATAAAACTTGGATATTGAAATTTTAGCTAATTTAAATCACTAGTTTTTAAAATATTTATATAAATATATTATTAATAATAAAATTAAAATATGTAATAAATATTAAATTTTTAAATATTATATTTGTTACAAATTTAAAAAAGAACTAATAAATCAAAAAACTAAATTTTAATATTATTAATATATTCTCAAGTTATAATATATTAAAATTTTATTTAATTATAATAATAAGTTATTAAAAAAATTAAATATATATTATATAATAATTAAAGTTATTTATACAATATAATTTATATGATATATTTTAATAATTATTGATTAAATTATAAGAAACTTTTATATAATACAATTTGGAATTATATTTATGATATATAAAATTTGATTTAATTTAAATTAGTAAATTTTATACATTTCAATATAAAAATAATATTCAGAAATTATAATTTGTAAAATATAAAATTAATAATATATTTCTATAATTACTGACTGATTTAGTAATTATTAAGCAATTTAATGTAAAAATAGTATTCAGATACTTTTGTCTACCTTATATTTTAATATTTTTATTTAAAATTTTTCTTAAATAAGTTATTTAAAATAATTTAATTATTGATAATATTTTTTAATAGATAAAATATTTTTATTTCTTAATAATAAATAAAATTATATAAAATTATAATATATAACAAAATCAATTAATATTATGAAAATCAAAATTAATGAAACTAGTAAAGAATATGGTTGAAAAATTTTTGGTAGACTTCTATACTTCTATAGTAATTATATTATATTTTAAATAAATTTTCTATAATTTTATATTTATTTGTTATAACCTTTTAATAAATTTTTTTAAAACTAAAAAATATATTTTTAAAAAAAATATTTACTATAATTTTATAAAATGATAATCGTATTATTGTTAAGTCATATGTGACAAATGAAATGCAGGCGTGATAAGGTGACAAATTATGAGAAGGCACGTGCTTTGAAAATATTTTATAATGGATAATCAACCACCCAAGTTTTTTCACTTTATTTTAATTGTGCTTTGTTCTATAATACAAATACCTTATTTATTTTTAAACCATGTCAACTTCGCGTTTGAATTGCCGAATTCTGTGGTCACCGCACAAAGATTCTAATTTATTTTTGGTTGGATCAAATAATGATTTAAGGTTATATGAATATATTCCAAAGGTTTGTCATAAAGCGCGCGAAATACCATATTTTTTCGATTCTTTACCCATTTTAAAAATTTCATTGGGACCTGATTAGGGACCAGCAAATTATAAATTGATTTTCGTGAATCCAGATATAGCATCAATGAGGGTATGTATTTAACTTTCATGATTTTCATGATTATCGTTTCATGAAATTCTAACTTTCCTTTATATAGTGCATTGCTTGGTCACCTGACTCTAATTTTCCAAGTTTAATTGCAGCAGGATTTGCCAACGGCAAAACATATCTTGTTAATATTCACGACGAATCAACATTAAACGAATCTCATGTAAATAATCATTTAACGTCATCAAAACCATTTAATGTGCTTTCTCAACAACCACCATATGCAGTTTTAAATTCTAAAAATTCAAAACCATGTAACGAGGTAGAATTTTCTCTGGCTGATCCCAGATTATTAGCAACCGGATCTGATAAAGTTAGGAATGATTATTGTTTATTAATTTGGGATGTCGAAAGAGCTGCAAAATGTGGAGATAAAAATTATGGTAATACGCCTAAGTTATCCGCAGAGATGCCTAGTAGAACCGGTAGCATTAGTGGTTGGAGTGTTAAAAGCGATCATAATGATGTTGGAGTTGCCCCCAGTGGATTTGGTGGGAGGGGAGGTTTGGGAATTGGCTCCTCTGTAATGGATGATAATTACACTTATCCATTAGGTATTGCAATAATACAAATAATAATAATAGAATCATTCTATAATAAAAAATCTAATATGTTTTTTAATAGAAATGGCAAGGTCTGGTTATTCAATGTATGAATCTCCATTCGTTCCAAGACCTCAACCCGCAACGAGGTGAAGATGACGTTATTTGATACAAAAGACAAATTATTATTTCTTTCCCGTTTGAATTCCGCTGAAATTTTTTTCTTTCCATAAATTTATTCTCTTATGTACGCGTGTGGAACATGTTAAAAAAGTTATAATACACGTACTGATGAATCAAAACCTATTCACACTTTTGGATTATCGGAATTTGTTAATTCTATAAATTGGATCCGTACAACAAAACAACTGGTTGCCGGAATGTCGGGAAAATTTTTGAAGATTTTTGATTTGAGATGTAATTATTTATGAAATTTATTACCTATTTTTTATTTTTTTTGAAAACGTTAATAATTTACAATTATATATGATTTTTAGTAACGGAAAATCCTGCCATTACAATAACAACTAAAGCTGTTTTTGGAGTAAAGACTGATCCATTTAATGATCATAGATTTGCTAGTTTTGAGGAAATTAGCAGTAATATGGGAAATATTCTTTTATGGGATGACCGTAAAACTACGGAAGCTATATCCTTTTTTTTTTAAAAAAAAAAAATTAACATTTTATTTAGAAAATTATTTCCATGACATCCTTGACGGCACCTTATTTTTCACGTCCTAAGCATATCCACCGAGACACGCCCAGTTCGAATTGCATTTTCAACAGTGCGATCGGGTTTACTAGCGTCCTTATCCAACGATACATCTTATATATCGTTATATGACATACAAGAAACTACATGTAAATTACAACCTTACTCAACAACTTTATCAAATAATAGTTCACCACTTGATGAAGTTGATCCTCTTAATTGTGGATTTGGTAATGATGGAGGAGTACCGATAGCGAAATCTACCACTTCTATGGGAAGTGGTGCCGGATTTGTTCCTTCGGCTGGTATTGTCATGGGTGCATCTAATAATCCTGCATTTTATGAAAAAATGAATGGAAATGGAGTTGGTGGTGGGGGTATATCTATTTCGGGCGGCAAATCCGATGATGAACTTGACATGCCTATATTATGGAAATCTAGGAAAAGTTTGTATCGGACTTATTTACCTATTTTTTTCAATATTTAGAATATCTGATTGATATTTTACTTCATTCCAAATTATAAATTAAAAGCACAGAAATTATCGAAAGCTCTCGTATCTTTTGCTTGGATACCAACTATGTCATCGCCTCATTCACACCGATTGTTGGTGATAAATAAAGAGTCAACGTTGGAAACAGTCACATTGGAAGAATGTACTAATTTCGGTTGGGAACCACGCGGGAATATGTTAATATTTGGTCCAAATTCGGTCAAAACATACGATGTTGATCAAAAAATTCATGATTATGGCGATTTTGGAAGAGGGGATGATGACATTCGTGATAACATCGGTGATGATCTTCATCGTGGAATTTCATATAGCAATGAACCGAGTTTACATCATCGTAGTAATAATGGATCAGGTTATGGACATAAACATCGCGTTTCTTTAGATTTGAAGGTTGATAACGAATATGATAGTGGGAATAGAACACCTAGACCTAATGATCTGAGCAATTCTTCTAAAGATGTAAATGCATTAAAAAAACAATTAAAAGGAATCATGATGCATCGATCTCATGATGATTTGACGGTGGGTGGTGTTCCAGAAAAAGATGATGATAAAGCGCTGTTAATTTTGCCCTTAAAAACATTACAAGAAGATATTTCTGTTGTCATGCGTAAGAGGGCCAAACAAGGATATTCCATGATTGTAAGTATAAACAAATCATTAGATATCATATGCAAGGTTCTACTTTTTTTTATACCTAGTTCTATTTATATAGTGTCGTGCCAATGAAGACCTTGTAAGAGACTCTCCAAAATTGAGAACATTATGGAATTGGATAGCTCGTATGTTTAGCAAATCTGCGTTGTATTTTAAATTATTAGGTGTTTAACCATAAATTTTTATGTTTTATCAGAAGCCGAAAAACTTTCTTCGGAAGGAAAATCAAATTTTCAAGGAATCTATTCAGTATGGGCAGGTTAATATTTTTTGATTATATTTCTGAAATTATGTACATATTTTTAAGTAATTTAAAATTCTTTTACAAGTAGCATCCACAGGTGGCAGTAAAAGAGTGTCACCAATATCAACTCCAAAAGCGTCACCACCAAAATCTTTTTCTGAAAGATCTGAACAGGAAGGAGTCGATATAAATGAGATTCCTATCACGGTATCAACTTCTAAATTGTCACAAAGAAAATTAGCATTGACCATATGTGGATGGGGTTTTGGAAAGAAAGAATTAGAAGAAACACTTCAAAGGTAAGAGATCTTTAAATTTTTTTTTTTTTTAAAAAAAGGTATATTTTTTATTATATTGAATTATTCATGATTCCATTAGAATGGAACGAGCGGGTAATTATGAGAAAGCTGCTGGATGGGCATTATTTCATGATTTACCCAAAAGAGCCATTGCATCATTAAATAATAGTAAAGGTATGATAATTGATTTTTTCTAAAACCAATTTTGACTTATGAATAGGTCTAACGCGGAGTTTTATTTATTATTATAGATGAACGATTGAAATTAGTATCAACAGCGTTAGCTGGTTATGTTGCAAATAATCAAGAAAATTCACTTTGGCGTGAAATATGTATAAATCTAAGTACTGAAATACACAATCCATATTTGCGAGCAATGTTTTCATTTATTGCATGTGGATATTGGATAGATGTATTACAAGAGGAAGGGCTTTCTTTACAGGATCGTATCGGCATTGCGTTGAGATCTTTGGATGATGAAGAGGTACATTGAAATAAGAAATGTTTTTTTTTTGTTTTAAAGAAATATGATAATTAACGAGCATCCATAATTTATAAATGCTTAGCTCGATTATTTCTTACGTGATATAACTGAAAAAGTAATTGCAACCGGTGATATAGATGGAATCATTTTAACTGGCCTTACTCCAGAAGGCGTATCATTATTTGAGAATTATATAAATAATACATGCGACGTTCAGACAGCAAGTCTGGCATTGAGCTTTTGTGTCCCAAGAAAATTCAAAGATTCAAGAGTGACAAATTGGGTAGAAAAGTAAGTTATATTTTAAGCCAATGGTTGGGGATAATCATTATATTTACCTAGATTTTAAATTTTTCCCTTAGTTATCGTATGCTGTTGGATCAATGGCAAATGTTTCATATACGAGCGAGATTTGATATAGCACGTGGTAAACATATGATATCTTCAACATCCTCGGCGGCAGATATGGTACCACCACAAGTTTACGTAAGATGTAATTATTGTAGTCAAAGTATTACACATAGCTTATTTATACCCGGTATGAAAGGCAAAGACGGAGAGAGATTTACACTACCAGCTTCGTATTATGGGGCTGCGGTTGGAATGATATCTAAACAAAAGGTATTTTCTTCGAAATCACCCGTTGAATCAAAACGTTTATGATTTCATTTAATAACTGTTTAACAACATCATTAAAGACGACTTGTTGCCCTGGATGTCGAAAACCTTTACCTCGATGTTCTATATGTTTATTGAGCCTTGGGACACCCACCGATAGTAAGAGAGAAGCCATCACTGCCAATCAGCAAAGTGGATTTTCAAATGATAGTAAGTAAACTCAAAATTTAACCTTTTAATTGAAATAATAAGATTGATTTGTTTATTAATTTATTATTTTTATTTTTAGAACCATTTGGATTTGACCTTTGGTTTACGTGGTGTCAATCATGTCATCATGGAGGACATGCAATACACATGTTACAATGGTTTCAAAAACATAAAATATGTCCTGTTAGTGAATGTACATGTTTATGTGAAAATTGATTTAATTAATATTTAAATTTTTTATATATAATCTGTATGAAAATCTTAAAATTTGTAGCAATGTATAACAATAATAAAATTATAATAAATTGTATTGATTTGATATTCATATGATATTCATAATAAATCAGGAAAAAATGAACCTCATAATCTCACTTGTCAAAAATGCAAACTAGGCCATTTACATAGAGAACTTCGGGATTGAAAATGCCGAAAGAAAACCGGAAAAATTTTCATTTATTTAATTTTTTTTGCTTATTAATTCTTATGGAGTATCCAACTCCGAATAGATTATCCTTAAATAGTAATTAAAGTTAATTACGGTCATACAGGGTTTTAATTACATAAAATTGCAAATGATGTCGTAATATCTGTGCAACGTACAAGAATTGACCAATTCGGAAATGCTTTTCTCTTTGATGAAAATCGTGCTTATTAATCGAAAATAATAAATTGATAAATTGACGAGAAAAAAAAGCCAAGTTGAACCTTTAATTATTTAAAATAAAAAATCATAACGATGAAGTTGTTTGATAATACTACCAGTAATCGAGTGATAATTTACACTGAAAATTTGATGAGGGTAACGAATATTAAATCTTTTAAGAGGATAGGCAATAAGAATAATCAAGAAGCAAGTATTTATTTGAAATGGAAAATGAAAATTTAAAAAAAATTATCAATACAAATTTTTGATTTTGAATTTTAAAATCATTTACAGTTAATTACTTCCCTTGAAGATACTTTTAAAATACTTTATAAACGACCCTCATGTACATTTGATAAAGTAAATAAAGTGTTGGAATTACCTGATCCATTTAAATTTAATCAGAAATTAACAGAAGATCGTGATGATTATGAGGTTACGGGTGGGTGAAAAAAAACAATTTTTTTTCCATCTTTATCAAAAAAAGAAAAAAAAAAAAAAAAATCTGATCTCTGACCTTTTACAAAATAGCAAAATTATTTTATTTGCCACCATCATCAACATCTATAATTGAGTCATCGACTCCACCATCACAATTCATCACACAATCAGTATATCATTTATTTAAATTACTTGGAATTAACACCATAGACACATTTATCATTTATTTTAATGGATTCATGTTTGATGGATCTAATGAAATATCGAACAAATTCAATAAAACATCTAATATGAAGAACAACAGAGATGATGACTTGAATAATCACGGCAAAAGTGATATTGATAATTTACTTGAAGCTTGGAAAGAATTGGAAACTCTTCACAAAAAGAATATGATTTACAAATTAGGCGTTAGCGAATTTACTAAAAATCAATTGGAAAATTTTATAAAGGCTGTTGAGGTGAGTTGATTATGACTTTCAAAAGGTTGAAAGAAATTGTTGAAGGTTAGATTGATTTATCCCCTTCTTTTTTTGTTTTTGATAGGTTCCTCCAAAGATAGATCAAATTAATTTCGACTGTTGTGCAATACCAAAAGAGATTATTGAATTCGCCAAAAAGAATAATATAGAATTATTATCACATAATGATTCAACAGGTAATATATTTCGATTAACATGATATTCCTGTTTTGAATCAATCTAATTTTCCTTTTTTAACTTGATAATTAAAAATTTAGATATATTACCTTCCACAACTTTTCAAAAAATTATTGATGATGCTAATACAAATAAAGTTAGGCTAAACAAGGATTTATCACCTCGTTGGGTACTCAAGTATTCTGTAATGATACCAGATAGAGGGGTCATTAATAATAAAGGGTGAGCATTTGTTATAATTATAATCATAATTAATTTTTTTCTCATTTTAAAATGATTAAATTTTATTTTTTTTTTTTTTAAAAAAAAATATTATATGTATATCTAGGTATATTGTTATGGCAAGTACAACAAATTCAGATCCAAAATTTACTTATACTATAGATGAGATTGAAAAAAACGGGTTTTAGTTATTTAAATCATAGCATTATTTTATTTTATTTTATTTTATTGTTTTCCTATTCCTTAGAGAAAAAATAACGGGCTTTAAATATGTAGTTATTTAAATTATAGCATTACTTTATTTTATTTTATTTTATTATTTTCCTATTCCTTAGAGAAAAAAAAAATTTCAATTTGAAAATTTTACTTGTTAAAAATTTTTTTTTATTTAATAAAAAAGGGTTGCTTTTTTTTGCGATGTTTCAACCATGTTGATCAAAATCTAAACAATAAATTGGGTATACACATCCTCTCTTCTGGTGTTTGATAATTCCTTATCATGGGCCTTGATTGACATTGCAAATCGACTTTTCGTGTAATTTTTTGCAGTTCCTTTTTTTTATTTGTATAATAATGAATCCAGTTATTGAATTGGGAGAATCGCCTGTGATACATGGAACAAAATTTACCCTTTATGCGATTTTTTTTTTTTTTTTTAATTATTCTGAAAAGTGATTTATTATATTGCGTAAATCAAATTTTATTGATTGATTCTGGGCTCCTGCACAGATTCCTAATTTGATCTCCGATATTATTAACTATCTTATAGGTAGCGGTAGTTATTCGGAGCTCGGTGTCGGATAATGTCGGATAAGTAATTTAACTTGTTTTTATTTTTCTCATCACGAAAATAATTTCTTAATATTCTAAATTTTAATAGAAAGTACAAATTTTAATATTGTAAGTTTATAAAGTCCAAGTTTTTTACTATAAATAGATTTATTTAATTTTACATAATTCTCTAATATGAAAAAGATTACGGAATACCGGATGATTCAATTATTTTGAAATACCTTTATGCATAAAGCTCTAAAATGTTTAGAATAATTCTATATATTAGATCAATAAATGGGATTTTTGAATTCATCTGTGATAGACAAAATATTCAAAAAAAAAAGAAAAAACAATTCAAATTTTACGTCATCCGAAGCGTTGTTTGAAATGTCACGTGTATCGTGATTATTCTTTAAATTTTATCATACATGGTTCTTTTGAACGAATTCTAATAAATAGAGGATTAAAAAAAAAACGATGATAAACCCGTTTTAATATGAAGCTCACTTTCATTATCTTGAATTTTACTTGGATCAGTTCCTCCAAAATGAAAATTTTTGAGCAACTTGTCACGTGATGGTTCATTACGTAAAAAATTCCGATCATTTTGACGGGACAAGGAGCTGATCCGACGATCAGGACTTTCACCCCTTAGCCAACTAATTATTGTTGATTAATAAAATATAAATAAAAAATTAAATCCCTTGACTTCCGGATAAATTTTTGTTATAATCTTTATAAAGCAAAAATTAATCAAGGAGATATGTTTTATTATAAAGCATAATTAATACCCACCAATAACGGTGATTAAATATTACTCATAATTGATAACGGCAAATATAATCTACCGATTCAATTTTAATTCGTTGTGTTACCAAAATATTGTCGCTCAAATTGAAACATTCTGCAAAAAAATAATCAATTATAAATCTCACGATATTTTTTTTTTTTTAAAAAATTTTAAATTGATCTAATCTATTTCGTGTTTGACTAGAAGAAAAAAAAAATGATTTTTTTGATTTTCTTAGTTAGTTGTGTCGTATTTGGAATCGCTGTTATAGGCTGGTTTGTTTATAAATTATACATTTGGCCCTATTATATCTCTCCTTTGAGAAACATTCCTGGGCCACCTTCCGAAAATCTTCTTTACGGAAGTTTTAAGAGATTTTTCGTCGAAGAGGTTAATATATTTTAATATATATATATCAATAATCCTTTTCTAATCATAAACTTTTTAATTGCAAAGTTAACACACTTTCTTTTCTTTGTTTTGATTTTTTGATATAGTCCGGTGAACCACACCTTAGATGGGTGAAACAATATGGAAATATTTCAAAATATCATGGAATATTAAATAAGCCAATACTTTTAGTTACGGATCCAAAAATAATTCAAGAAGTACTTTCAAATCAAGCTTATGAATTCATTAAACCTTATCAGAATTTGGCTGATATGAAGGCTCTCTTTGGTCAAGGTATTGCTCTTGTAGAAGGAGAAACTCACAAGAGACAAAGAAAAATGATGAATCCTGCTTTCACTCATACAAATGTTAAAGTGGGTATATTTTTATTTTATTGTAGTCATAATATAATTTATATGGTTCATAATTGTGGCCGAAATACGTGTATATATTTTATTTCTTTTTGTGCACCATTTAGAATATGATTCCAACATTCGTTCGTATAGTTTCGGTATTGAGAGGGTTGATAGAAGACGAAGTAAATAAAGGAGAATCGAAGATTATTCTTTCTTCCCTAATCTCAAAGGCTACACTTGATATCATTGGCTTAGTTGGTAAGAGAAAGTGTGTAAAAACGTTATTTTTATGAACCTTGATAAAATCATTTGACTCCTGATTTATGATTGTTAGGATTTAATCATGAATTTAATTCACTAACATCTCCGAGCGAATTGGCAGAAGTTTATGATTCTCTCGTAAATGTCAAAATTTCCACGTTACCCGTCATTATCAGCCTTTTATCTTATTACATTCCATTTGTTAGAAAAATTCCAATAGGCATAAATAATAGGTTTAATCATGTGTGTAAAGTTATTGATCGTGAATCAAGAAAGTTGGTAGAAGAAAAGTATCGTGACGACAAAGACAACAAGTTGAATGGCAATGATTTATTATCTTTACTAATCAAACTTAATAAGACCTTACCTATCGAAGAGAAAATGTCTGACGATGAACTCAAATATCAGGTAACTAATCTTTTTGAGAAATATAATCGTCATTTATACAATTATTTTTGCTTTGGATTTAGATTATGACAATTTTGTTCGCGGGACACGAAACTTCAAGTACTACAACGAGTTGGGCATTGCACCTACTCGCACAACACCCACATGAGCAAGATTTGTTACGTGAGGAATTGGTTAAGGCTTTTCCTGACAAGTCAAAATTTAATCCCACTTTTGACGAAATCAATTCTTTGGAATACTTAAATTATATCATTAAAGAAACTTTAAGATTAATTTCTCCGGGTAAAAACTTTAATTTACTTCATCATTTAATTTTATTAACATGTATACATATTGTTAAAGAAAATTTATTTTGACTGATCGATTATTTTTAGTTGTAATTATTCAACGATATAATACTAAAGATAGAATTGTATGTGGACAATTTATTCCAAAGGTGTGTTTACTTATTTATATACCTTTTGTATTAAAAAGAAATATTCATATATATATATTTATTTCAAATTCCTAACGCTCTTTTATTTAAATAGGATACTTTAATTGAAATTCCAATTTCGGCAATTCATAGACTTCCTTCAATTTGGGGTCCAACGGCTGAAAATTTTGATCCGAAAAGATGGTCGGATCCTTCCTTAACCAAAACCATAACAAATTATCATTACATTCCTTTCATAACTGGTGCTAGATCTTGTATAGGTAACAAATTAGCATTAAATGAGATTAAGGTATTATTAAGTAATCTAGTTAGGAATTTTGTTTTTCAACCAGTTGAAGGATTACATATCAAGAAAAAACCTGGGTTTTTCAGTAAACCTGACCCACATCTCGAATTGATTGTTTCTAAAGTTGAAGTGTAACGAAGAGAGAGTTATTTTTGAATGTCATATATTATTAAATAAATTTATTAAATATTATTATCGGGTGCTCACACAAATCTTTTAAATCATTTGCGAGAAAATATCTTGAGAGGTTTGAGATTATTGGGTATTAGATAGATTTAGATCCGTCAGTATAGATGTTTAAAAAACATTCAAATTTGTATTTCCATCACAGAAATTATCATGCGATTATATTACAGTTAACGCTTTGTTCTCATATGTGGTTTCTTGATTCATGTACTGAAGAATTCAACGTTGAAAATTTGTTTTATTACTTAAAACAACCTTCAAATTTAAATCGCGAGCGTACGCCTAATTATTATAAAATTAGGGGCTCCTATTGTCGTTGCTGAAGTCGGTATAAAAGACTTGAGAGACATATTATATCCTATTAGATTCATAAAATGATCATCCGATATATACGAGATTTAAACATTTGTCTTTGCAAAATTAATAAAAGTTATTTTTATAAAGAATTTAATTTAAAATGGTTTTAATCTTGTGAAATCTAGTGCATTCCTATAAAATGTCTTGTTACGCCATTCATATTTCTTTGAAGCTTTATCTAAATACTTCATAAAATTTATATACTATTTGAATTTATTATAACTCTTTCATCAATATATGATTTTCTTCGTATAAGTGATTCCAAAATAATCATTTTTAACAACTTTCATTATAATCAAAGATAATATAGTTATAACCGGAAAATAAGAAACGAAAGTTTTGAAATTGAGTCTTTAAAGGAAAATTTCAAAAAAAAAAGCAGTTGCGGATGAACTAGTTCGGATAAATTTTTAGATGTTCACGACCTTTTGTCTTAAATTCAAATTTTATCTGAAATTCAATTTCAAGGTAACTTGATAATTATCTAATATAATATATTGAAGCCATGTTTCACAATTGAAACTTGTTTTCCCGTTTGAAAAATCATTTTTTTAAAAAAAATATAGAAAATATCCTCATGATCATAAATTTGATTTACAATAAATAATACGCCGTACTTCAACTCTCCATTACCACCTAATATTCATCTAATTAGTAAGAAAATTCTACTAGATTGTGAAAAAATTGGTAAATCTGGTATTTACCGTAAGTATAATCTGTAGTTGCTCATTGTTTGAAATTCAATCTTGTGTATGTGCGCACGCACACAATTTTTAACTTCCGCACATTTAAAGTTTACAATTTATATAATTTATATAAAATGCAAACATATAGCATAAGCAAATTTCTGCACAAAAATTTTTATTTTTGAATTTCTAACGGGTCCATAGATATTCCCTTATAAGGATTTCATCCATTATTTATATACTAAACAGGTTTCTTTG